GAAGTACCGCTCGCGGTCCTGCCCACTGATGCGGGCTGGGCCCCACACGTCCATGTGCAGGGTCTGCAGGGGAGCAGTCGTCGGGGGAAACGAGGAGGAGTGAGGAGCGGCGCGCTGCCGCCCCTCGACACAGGGAAGACAGGGAGGAGCAAGCGAGGGTGGGAGGGGAGGGAGAACCCTGGGAAGACCAGAGACAAGGACACGGCGGTGCATGCTACGAAGGCGCTGCACCGATGGGTGACCAAGACGGTGGTGCCAAAGGAGGGTCTGGTGCGACAAAGCGCGACACAAGCAGGGGGGCGCTAGCTGACCTGGCGCAGACGCAGACGCAGCGGTCGCAGGGGACATAGTAGTCGGTGTGTACAGACTCGAGCCAGGCGCACGGGTAAACGCGGCCAGGTGCCGGCCTGTCCGGGAGCACGTATAGTGGGTCACGTGCTGACCTCCAGGAGTGAATTGGTCAACCCACTGGTCCTGGAGGTCAGCACCAATCACCAAGTTCGTAGAGAACGAGGGGAGGTGAAGACCAGACAGGGAGCCAGACAGGACCGCCGGGCACGGCAGGACCGTGGAGGAGTGCGCAAGGACTGGCCCCCAAAGGGGTCTGCCAGGGAGACTGCAACCAGCCGACTGAGCAGCGTGAGGGTGGTGCTGTCACGAAAGAAGGAGCGTGAAGCACCTGAGTCAAGTGTGAAGGTGTACAAGGCCTCAGCAGGCGCAGTACCAGAGAGAGCAGACTTTCCAGCACCTGGAGCAGCAGCCTCACCAGCACCTACAGAAGGAGACGAACTAGCACCTAGAGCAGCAGCCTCACCAGCACGTAGAGCAGGAGACGCACTAGCACCTAGAGGAGAAGGCTCTATACCGGGGTCAGGCAGTACGCACAGGTAACAGGCACCGTCAGTACTAGTAGGCAATGCATACATGGCAGTGAGAATAGCATCATAGTCAAGAGCAAAGATGTCTACCCTCTGCCTAAGCAGCTCCAGCCAAGTGGGGAGCTCAGCCTCGTCGCCAAACTCGGTACGCCAGGCGTCGCTCAGACGGGCGAAGCAGCGGGACTGTGTGTGACCAAGCGTCTCGCAAGCCTGACCAGCCCGATCACCTGTGCGAATGACGTACGGGCAGCGAACGGTACTCCGAGACCCTCTACTCTGAGCGTACCACTCATGAAACTGCTGGGGCGTAAGTGTCTCGCGCGGACGCCGCTGCAGCTGCAGCTCGCCACTGCCAGATGCTCCCAACTGACCAGCTCTAGGGCGACAGCTACGACGGCTACGGTCACAACCCCAACTAGTGTACCACTTACGAAGCTGCTGGGGCGTGAGAGACTCGCGCGGACGTCGCTGGAGCTGCATCTGGCCACCGCCAGTAGCAGCAGTAGCAGTAGTAGCAGCAGTAGTACCAGCAGCAGCCGGGCAGGGTAGGCGCGTCGGCGGCAGGGCGGGGCCGCGTCGGCGGCAGGGCGGGGCCGCGTCGGCGGCAGGGCGGGGCCACGTCAGCGGAAGGGCGGGGCCGCGACACGGCGGCAGGGCGGGGCCGCGTCGGCGGGGCCGCGACCTGGCGGGGCCGCGTCAGCGTCAGGGCGGGGCCGCGACAGTAGGAGGGCGGGGCCGCGTCGACGGCAGGGCGGGGCCGCGTCAGCGGCAGGGCGGGGCGGCGCTCTGGCCTGACGGGCCTGCAGGGGCGGCTCGCGGGCCTGACGGACCTGCAGGGGCGGCTCGCGGGCCTGACGGGCCTACAGGGGCGGCTCGCGGGCCTGACGGGCCTGCATGGGCGGCGCGCTGGCCTTACGGGTCTGCAGAGCGGTGCGCGCGTAGCTAGGGCAAGAGTAGGCAGCGCGAGGGCTGCAGGACGGCGCGCGCAGCGCAACACGTCACAAGGCAAGGCAGGCGAAGGCTAGCGTAGGACGACACGTGGGGTAGCGGGGTAACCGCAACGGTAGGTGGGCCCGGAAAAAAAAGACGGTCCTACGGACCTAGTGCTCTAAAACCATGTTAGAATGTAGTAGCAGGAATGAATGCACTGTGAAAGAGTTGGGTACAAGTATGAAACCCTAAACGAGGCTGTACCCTTCATTGGCTACCCCACTACAGGCTAACCATATATATCATGCATATGATTTGACAGCATGAGCCGACTCTACCGAGTATGAAGTCGAGGAGTCAGAAGAGTCGAAGCGACACAGCAACCGTCCGACCAAGTCCGATACAGGCAGAAACATTTGAAGTGAAAAGAGTGGGAACAAGTTTGAAATGGGTTCCCGCGCCGCAGGGTTGAATTCGCTGCAACAAGGGAATGTACGGTACCCCTCAGAGTATATGGCTAGTCTAGGCCTTTTCGTGATCCCTTGTTTTCTTATATAAGTCCGATTTATACATGTTTTTATCATCTCAGTCATTTACATTCACTCTCAACTGAGTTCACTACTTCTGTTGCATTACTACCATGCGATCAACCCTGAATGATCCTTCGCTAAGTCCCACTTGGGATTGTAACAACCCTGTTAAAATTAGCCCTGGTCACTGCTAAGCGCGTACACCACTGTTCCCGCCAACAGCACTCAACAGTAAACCGTTACCACTCGCGACAACTTTCCAGTTGTTGCGCTCCTTCAGTGCTTTCAGTTCCTTGTCCATGGCTTCACGCCATTTTTCCCTATGCTCCCCCCCCAGAGCTTGCTGAACTGTGGCAGGCTCCTTAGGAATCTCTGTGCCGTGGACCGCGGTGACGAGACCGAGGATCTGGAGGCCACTCTGTGTGTAGCGGGGTAGAGTTGTGTCCGCAGGATAAGCTGCTTCGTCACCTGTTTCTGGGTCAGGTATGAAGTTGGGCCCTATGCGTTCTGCTTCGTTGGTGTTGACTTCTGCAGGTGTAACGTAACCAGTGTCGGCGAAGTCGAAATAAGTTTCGGCGTTGACACTTTCGCGAGGATTTTCGTCGTCCATCGGGATAGGCACGGAGCAGTATGGGAGTGGTCCTGCTTCTTCCGAGGCGTTATCCACGTTCTGCTCGTCCCAGTCAGCTTCGTCTGCTGCCGAGGCGAAGGCTCGATCACAACGGAAGCCACCTGTGGGGTCCCGGTCTTCTTCCAGGTTGGCAAGGTATGTCGGAAGGGTGAGTCGTTCGTAGAAAATGACATCACGTGCTGCTACTGTTTCTTTGGAGTGGACGTCGAAAATCTTCCACGCGTTGTAATTTCTTTCGATGCCTAGGTGTAGTCCCCAGTGTGCAGATGGGGGTCGGTACTGTACCATGCAGCCGAAAACTCTTAACATTTTTGTGCTGCCCTGTTTTCCTGTCCACAGCAGATGCGGTGATGCGTTGTTTGGAAGTGATGACGACGAAAGCAAGTTGTGCAGCATGACGGCGCGTACACCACTGTTCCTGCCACTGTTCACGACGCGACCCAACCCTACGGTTCGGTTGGTGGCCGCGCTCCAGACCTCTGCCTTGACAATTCCCAACCTTGGCGCTAGGCCCGTCGCGCATCCCATTTTCACACATTACCATTACCACTGTAATTTCGCTATATACTAATCGCTCGTGCCTTCGCTCATTGTACTTTTTGCTTGGATAGTGCAATTCTAGCTCACTTACTAACAGAATATTTGCATTAAGTGCATTACACCCGTTTTCTCATCTTGTTCACCTTGCGCGACTCGTCGCTACAGTACACGACTTTTTCGATCTGGTGCCATTCAACGTTCCTAGCAAACTGGGGGGAAAAACTGAACCCCTTGACAAACTGGCTCAAGGGCGTAAAATTTCCGTAATCGCTGTATACCCTTCCCAACCCAATGAAACGTTAATAAAGCTGTTCGTAAAGTGCATCACCTTATCTAACTGCATTCTTTGCTTTGTGCTTGTACAGCAGGTGACAAGACCGTTCTGAACGTGGCGACGTTCTAAAACCCGTGTACATTCTGCAACCAGAATCTCTACTATCGCGAAAGAGGGTATACATGGTCTGGAGAGACATGGCGCGTTCCCTCCCTCGATCTAGCGCGAGATCGCAGTGAAAAACCGATCGCAGGATTGGGGTGGGATTGGTAGGAGGTGACAGTCGCGGATCGATCTCGCGCCCTGGGTGACAGGATCGAAAATACAAGGGGGAAAACCCTCGATCCTACAAAAGCCGAGATCGGTGTGGCCACTAAGACACATCGATCGTCATCAGCGGAGGTGACAAGATCGCTGGGCGCAAGCTATCTCGAAATTAAGATACCCTGTCATTTACGACACTGTCGGTGTCCCTCGATCGATCGAGGGCAGGGATCGATCGAGGAAGGAGACGCGCCCTAAGTTTTCGGAAACCTTTGTAGGGCATTCCTGGTGTTGCGCCCACTTACCGCAAGATCTGCTGTGATTGCTGTCGTGTGCGTGATGGGTTTGCGCCTCCTGGCTCGGCCTTGGCGATGATTGGTCAGATGAGTCGAGCCGTGACATTGAGTTCAGGCTTGGCGAGTTACGTGAGTTTCGAAATGCGATAAAATTACACTGTCGGTGATGCCAATTCCGAGTCGCGATGCCACATTGTTTCCAGCCCCCTCCCCTTGCACGAAAAGCTGTCCATTCAGAATCTCAAGCTTCTCCAGAATGTTGAGTCCCAGGCACGAAGCTCGACTGAGCAATTTTCTACGCTCGTGTATCAAGCGACATGGGCTCAATCACGCCGTCAGGGAGTAACAGAGAACATCCTTAGTCCAGGCACATTGACTGACTAATGTGATGCGTAATGAATTTGGCCACGTTTTTTTTCGGTCACGCGTCGCGAGTTGCATGTGCCTGCCAGACAAGTCCCAGAGTGCCCAACGACTTTCACGAGACCCAAGTTCAAATAGGCCCAGGTTAACTTGTCCAGCACATATGAAAGCAGCAAGACATTCACTAGCAATCGACACTTGCCATTCGCTTTATACACAGCGATCGTCTACCTTCTAGTTTACGTTTTGCCTCGACACTGGTAGCTCCAAGCCATGGCTCGCCCGTGCCACACAATGGGCGTCGTGACTCTTCTCCTTCTGGCGTTCGCCCTCCTCTCCGCTCACGCTGCGGAGATGAAAACCCGCGACGACCTCGCCGGTTCCGGAGGAACCAACAAAGATTTTATCAACAACTACGACACCGTCACTCCCGAATCGGTCATCACCCCCCGGCCCAGGGACCCCCAGCCTGTCGCCGAGCCTGTTCCCGAGCCAGTGACTCCCGAGCCTGCTACTCCCATCAGTCCCGTCACCACTCCTAACCCCGTGTCGGCCTCTCAGGACGTCTTCACTGATGATCCCTTTGGCACTCCGAAGCCGTCGGTCACGAATGCCGGCCCGTCGTTCGACCCCAACGACCCTCTGGGCGGCAGGGACCCTCTCGCGGGCGATGACACCAAGACCGGTATGCAGCAGACAAGCGCGACCGACTCCAGCGCGTATGACGGCACTGCGCAACCCAACCAGGTCAACCAGTTGCCCCCGAATTTCCCCAATGCGCCCGCCAACGACACTGGCGTCGCCCAACCGGCCACCTGCGACCCGTCCGACCTGGCCGATTACACGTCGTCGTATCAAATCACCAAGCACGGCCACGTCCTGCACTGGGCCGTCGTCTCCCCAACGGTCGTCAAGATCGCGTTCGAGGCGAAGCGCGGCAGCGGCGCGGCGTTGGGATGGGTGTCCGTGGGGTTCTCCAAGGACGGCAAGATGTCGCCGGCTGACGCAATCATTGGCAACCTTCCCGACTCGCCCATCGCAGCGTACTCGATGACGGGATACGACGCGGGGTCCATCACGGTCAACAAGAACCTGTGGATCGGCGACGACGCCAGCCTAGTGAGCAAGACCAACGGCAGCCTCATCATGAAGTAAGCCCTTCCATACCTCGCCTCCCATAGTGGTAATCACTGCATTACGGCACCCTTTTCCGGAACCTCCTTATATCACACGTTCGTTGACGTTTTCCGTCTGGTTGTCGCTTTCAGGTTCTCGAGGTCCATCACTGATGGCGTTGCGCCCATCTCCACGACTGCGCCCGTCACCGTCATCTGGGCGTTCTCAGCCGACAACACCAAGCCGCTCGCCTTCCACGGTGACAAGAGACGGTACGCTCGCACTCCCTTCACTTCTGCCCTTGTCTCACTTTGCGCCGCCTAGTTCGCACTTTTTCCTCTTTCCCTTGCGGCTTACCTCGAGTTTCTGGTTGCGTTTTCCTCTTCGCAGTGGCTCTTTCCTGGTTGACTTCTCGTGCAATGGCGGCAGCGGCGTGGGGACGCAGCCGACAACACCTGCGCCGGTGCCGGTCCAGGATACGCAGGTGACGGTGGGGTCGTCGTGCCCGGTGTCGACGCTCGGCCAGTACGACCACCAAGCTGACCTTTACGACGGAAAGTACGCGTTTTTTCTCCCCTTACAATAACCTGCGGTGCTAATCATGCCGTATTACCATAGAACCTGTCATAACGACCATTCATGTCTCGGTTAGGTTCATCTTGTTCCTGCCTAACGCTGTTTGCTCGCTTCTGTCTGTTTTCTCTCGCCACCGGCAGGATTCTGCTGCACTGGAAGGTTCTGCCCGGCCCCGTGTTCCAGATGGCTTTCGAGGCGAAGCGCCTCAGCGGCGCGGAGAACAGCTGGATTTCCGTTGGCTGGTCCAACAACGGAGCCATGGCGCCTGCCGACGCTGTTGTTGGTAACATGCCCGGGATCAAGGCGTACCGCCTCGATGGTTACAAACTGACTGAACTCGTGAACGGCACGTTTTCGCTCGGGCTCAACCCGTCCGTCACCACCTCGGCTTCTGGGTCCACAGTTGTGAAGTAAGTGACTTGCTTCTCTGGTGAAGTCCACCAGAGCGTCCCGTAATACCCGATATAGGCGTTCTTCCTTGCAGTAGGAATCGAACATGCGCACGTCTAAGCCCATGTCGATTTTCTCTCGTTTCCACAGGTTCTCCCGTACCAACGGGGATGGCGGCACAGTTGCCATCAACCTGAGCGGCGAGACGTACGTCATCTGGGCCTTCTCCCGCGGCATGCTTCAGGCGTTCGGCTATCACGAGTACAACAGGTGTGCCCACCACGGTTGATCAAATTTGGTTTTGCACTGGAAACGTACTTCCGACTATGTTGGCTGTACTGAATGTACTTGTAACTCGCCAATTTTATCGCAGGGGTCTCACCATGGTTGATTTCCTCTGCAACACTGCCCCCACCACCCTGATGCGACCTGGCGAAAATGTTGCGAACATTCCGGGTGCTAATGTCGACCAAGATGACGACGCGGGCCTGACCCCTGCCGAGCGTGAGGACAAGGAGGCCCGCAGGGAGCGCCGGAGAGAGCGCCGAGCCCAGCGCGGGGCGATTTTCCGTTCATGGGCTGATGCTGCGCTAGGCCTCCCCAACCCTGTCCCGTCATCCAACCCACCGACCTACCCCTAAATCCCCCTAGGACGTTTCTCCATAGAATCTCGACGCCAAGCTTCTTCACAGGTTTTTGCCTAAGTGTGCAAAAGCATGGGTTCTTATCTAGATGTGCTATGCTAATCAAGCAAGTTGATCATCTCTTAGTTAGATCTCATTCCCACATAATGCGCCTTTAATGTTATCATGTTGCATCATTTTGAAATCTGTTACCAGCTTGTTATTGAGGAAAACCAAGGCAATGTTCCAGAGCTTCCTTGGAAGAACGATATATCCGATGTGCAATGCGAGTGAGAATGCCCGCATTTATGTCGGTTCGATTCAATAAGAATGCTGTTGACCATTAGATAATCATGATAAATTCAATGGAAGCAATATACTACACTGAGAGCATGTAAATTATCCCTCCAGTTTGTGAAGTCCAGTGGATGGATGCTTGTACAGAGGCTAAACTTCAAACTTAGTGCACAAGCTCGTTTGGCATACTCAGGATGAGTTCCGTTGACCCCACTTGGAGCCTGTACGTATGGACAAACCAAAATGCCAACGCACCATTATGGTGTCGCACACGCTGGTCGCTCTTGGCCCGTTTCTTTGCTGCGACTTCACTGAACAGTTCGTTTAGTGCATTTGATTTGCAGACGACCTTAGCAGGAGGAGCTACTGCTGTCGTCAGCTTTCGCTTTCATAAGGGTTCTGCTGTGCTGTGCTGGTCGGTGACCAAGCCTTAGCCAATAAGGAACTACCGAAGCGTTTTGCACTAACGGCGAGCACAAGACACCACACACCTCAACCTTGAACCCAGCTTGTTTCCACACGAAGGTGCAGTGCACACACACAACTGGAAAAACACGTGTCACCGCGACACGCAACGAGATGCGGCGGCGGAGCATCACTGGTGTCCCGCCCCCAGCCAGTCTTCTCGGTGCGCTGATGCGTTGCGCCACGGGACAGGCACGAGTTGTTCTCGGATTCTTGTCGGCATTCACGCAGATCTGTCACTCAACTCCACTTCACTAAACAACACTCAATCGCACTCCACCTAACTCAACTTCTCTCCAATCCACTCTACCATAGCCCAGACCTGCCCACTCCCTTTCATTCCCCTCGGCATAACACCACCACCTTCCTTCCCCCCTCCCCTTCCTTCCCCCCTCCCCTCACTTCCCCAGCTACTGCTGCTTTTCCTACGTATGTGCAAACCCATAAAGCAAACCTGCCGCAAGAATTACGAATAGTCTCCGCCAGTAGTGGACTCCACCATCGCCCACCACCAGACCAACTCCCTCTACCGCCTTTCTATCCGCACCGCCACGTGTCGTCCGCTCAGCTTACCGCTAACTCAACCCCACCGCACTCACTCACTTCGCAAGCTCAACCTCCCATCGTTTCAAGCCATGGCTCCCACCAGAGAACGCGAACCGCGTGTCTTAACAATCGAGCGCGTGTGCGTCACGCTCCTCCTCGTCGTCGCTGTAATTTCAGGCGGCGCCGCCGCCGCGCCGGCCGCCGCTGGCTCCGCGGGCGATCACCCAACTCCATCTCCGCGGAAATCCCAAGGCCTCCTCAACCGATTCAACCTGTGGCGCAAGAGATTCTCGCTCAAGCCCCCGACAACCACTGGCGCTGCTGCGGCTACAGGCGGAGCCGCCTCTGCTACAGTCGTCACCGGAGCAGCTGTAGCGGCGGCGAAGACATTGGTGACGCCTGCCGCCACGGGCACGTGCCAGGCGTCGACTCTCGCGGGCTACACGAGCTCCGTGGACCTCTCAGGCAACGGGTGAGCACTATATCGAGACTTGGAACACAATCCTCGATATTAGCCGTGCAAAAGTGTTTCTGGGGGCTCGCCATGCCCTGCATTTCACGTTTGTTTTTCCGTTTTCTCCGAAAAAATATGACTTCGCCTCAAATCCTTCACTATCTCCGGGACGCGATTTTTTCTCTCCCAGGCTCATCCTCCACTGGAAGACGTCAACCGGGTCAACGATCGACCTCGCTCTCGAGGCCAAGTCAACGAGCGGCGCGGCGAGCGGGTGGTTCTCGGTGGCGTGGACCAACGGCGGCATGTTCAACTCCGACGCCGTCATCGGGAACCTCGCGACGGCCAGCGGCGTCGGCACGTACGCGATATCCAGCTACTCGAATGTGGTTACCACCACGCGCTTCGCCATCACCGGCACGAGCGTCACTTCGTCGGGCGGGAGCACGATTGTGAAGTTCACGCGCGCGTCGGGGAACGGGCTCGTGCCGGTGAACGTGGCGGGGAGCAACAAGCTCGTGTGGGCTTACTCGTCCGGCGGCTCGAAGACAGTCGCCAACCACGGCGGCTCGCACAGGTAACGCCTCGCGCTCTCTCTCATTCGGAATGGCTCTCACCTCGTTACTGGTGTAGACGTTTTCTGTAGCTTCAGCCCACCCGTTTTCCTTATTCACAATTCTGGACTGTATCAATTCTCCTTTCCCTCGTCCTGCCCTGTTTCCAACCCTTCAGAGGAGCCAAGACCGTTGATTTCTCTTGCGACGGCACGGCCTCGGGGTCAGGCGGGTCAGGCTCGGGAACAGGCTCGGGTTCCGGAGCAGGCACGTGCACCGGCAACACAGGCGTGAGCGGCACGGCATGCCCTGCGTCCACCCTCTGTGGCTACTCCTACCAGGCGCAGATTAAATCCGGGTATGCACCTGCGTCTGCTACTGCCACTGCCTTTGCAACCACCACTGCATGGATCACTTCTTCTGCAGTTTGTTCTCATTCCCCTCTCTCGTTCCTTTCCCCCTCTCCTCCGCTCCATTCCCCAGCGTGCTGCTGCACTGGAAGCGAGCATCCGCCTCGCAGCTGGACATGGCCGTGGAGCTCAAGAGCAGCAGCGGCGCCAGCAACGGCTGGTTCGCCCTCGGTTGGGCCAACAGCGGTGATATGGCTCCCTCCGACGCAGTCATCGGCAACAGGGCGGGTGGAGTTGTGAGCCCGTACCGTATCACTGGCTACACCATGTCCTCGTTGCAAGGCGCCTCGTTTAGCATTGGCAGCAGCGCTGGGACTGTGACGTCTGCTACAGGGTCCACAGTGATCCAGTGAGTGGGGAATTGATTCGAGGTCGTGCCATCGCATCAGCTGCTGTCCCTTTCTGCCCGCTCGCCATTCTGTTATTCTCAGTCTCCACTTTCATCCGTTCGCCCAACTGCTGTCAGTTTCCCCCTACCCACTGCATAGAGCGATTTCTCAACCCCAGTAAACTGAATGCCTTCCCTTGGTTTTGCTTTGGACCAATCAGGTTCTCGCGCACGGCCAACACAGGGTCTCAAGGCATGAAGATGAGCGGCGTCAGTCGGCTCATCTGGGCGCACTCCAACTCTAACTCCAAGACCCTTGCTTTCCACGGGGGCGCCGAGTGAGTCTCCCTCTGCCTCTCCTTTTATTTCTGTACCTCTTTTTTCATCTCTTTCCCTCTCTGCACGTCTCTCGATGGACTTGTGCCTTCGTCCCTGCCCTTTTCTGCAAGCACCACCTGTGTGCTCCCCTTCATCTCACCAACCTACCCTCAATTTTCCGACTTGCCTCTATCTCCCTCTCCTTTCCTCTCTCTCTCAGTGGGCGGATGTCTGTGGACTTCTCCTGTGCCACTGCCCCATCCACTGGCGGCGGCGGTGGGGGCGATGATGATGATGATGATGACCATGAGGGGGGTGATGATCATGACGGTGATGATGACGATGGCTTCGGGGAGGGTGGTTCCGGTGCAGGGAGCGCGTTTCTTTCGCAGCTCCTCGCTTGGCTTGGCTCGCTCTTCGGCTTCCGCAAGTAGTCGGTGTACACTGTACACTGTTTCAGTGTACACTGTACAGTGCACAATGGAGCATGTGCCTAGAGTAGAAAAAGAGGTGGTTAGGGGAGAGGGCGCCAGCTCGGCCGGACCACAGGCATCTTTTGGAGTTGTGTGAGCTGTTGGGACAATATGTTTGGACAAGTCTCACACAGCGCAAAAGATGGTTGTGATGCCATGCCCTGCTTTTAGTGATTTGTTGCCGTGTATTTCCCATGATATCATCATATTGCTTAACGGAAAGACTGAACAAATCGAAGCCTCCCTACGTGTAATAAACCTTCAAGTTTAACGGGTACACCTTCCCTCACAAAAAAGCAGAGAAGGGAATTGAGAATGGGCGACAACAGTGCTTCATCTGATCCCCATCCCTTCGGAAATTGCATTGCGAAACAGTTGGATTCCGTGTACAAAACATCTTGAGGCATACCGTATCCTAGAATGCAAAACGTCCCCACCTTCTATCATCATCCGAGCACTTGAAACTAATTCGGACTCGCAATGTCGAACTGTTCTCCGCCTCCCGCAACCCCGGAACTCCAGCCAGCCTTCTCACCCTCTGCTATGCTGCCGCGTCAGCCTGCATGCCAGGACCATTGTCCTCTGGCTTTCGTTTCTCCAGGTCTGGCCTGTGGTAGGTGAGTTCTGCTGTTCCTTTCGTTTGTGGTCTGTGCATGCTTTTCGTTCGGTTTTTGCTCCGGTTTTCTTGGTGTTCTTGCAGGTTAGGCTCTCCTTTCTTCATGTGGTTTGGCTGCCTCTGGATCGGTTCTGTTGGCTTTCTCGGCATGTTTGGTTGGGTCTTACTTTCGTTTCACTCCTTGGTGGTTTCCACAGATCGCCCCTCTGCCGCTGCTCCTTTGTTGTGCTCACACGGCAACAGCTTCCTTGGTTGTCGGCGCTCCTCGCTCTCCTCACTGCCTGGCTTCTCAGGAGGTTATACGCTCCCTGGAAAACCCTGCGTTCTCAACTTTTCTCGCTCCACGTCTACTCCCAGCCATGCACTTGTGTGTTGGTGACACGGCATGTCGTGACGGTGCGTCCTCCTGTGTGCTCTCTCCATGCACGCTGCGCGACTCCCCTTCTCAGAGCTGGATCCTTGTTGGTTACCGTGTGCCTAGGCCATCGCCAAAGCCACAGCTCTTTCATTAATGGAATTGGAACATTTAATGTCCCCTCCTTGCCGCGATTCGTTGAGCCAACCCTTTCACCCCTTCTGCGTCGGACCGCGTTTCCTTGTTACAAATCGACGTACCATGACAGTCCGTCCTTACCACCTGGCGCAATGGGTTCCCAGCACAACCCTGACGAACTCATGGGAGAGGAGGAGTTCGGTGCCTCTTTCTCGGTTGACTCTTTCTTCGCTGAGGAAGCGGTCACCCCCACTGTTTCCGCTCCGCCCCCCGCGAAACGCGTCTGTGCTGCCGGTTCATCCAGCTCTGCGCCTGTGGCTCCCCGTGCGGCCTCGGTGGTGCCGCCTGTCACTCCGGTCATGGCTTCCATAGCCGGTCCATCCTCGGCTGCGCCTGCTCCTTCAACGTCGACCCAAGAGGCTAATCCTGTGGCCGTCCTCGCCATCACCGGCCGGTATCAGCGCCTCCGGCGCAACCGTGAGACTGTGGGAGTCGTCGTCGCGGCTCTGGCCCGTGACACTGATGCACTTGTCGTGCTTTTGTTCCCTGAGGCGCTTGAAGCGCACCGCAGTCGGATCTTAACCCGCGTGCGCAGCATCCTGCGTGGTCGCGACTTCGCTGGTGGCCGTGTCCCTGTCTTCGAGGCTTCTGCAGGCGAGCTTCTGCGCCTTCCCCGTCGCTCGTACTGCCGTCATATGCTCCAGTGGCCGTCGGTGGATGACGCGAATCGGTTCAAGCAGCTCCTGCCGATCACCTACCGCTCGTCTGAAGGGCCGACCGCGGAGATCAAGGTTTACCAGGATCCCGCTCCCGACTTCTCCGCGGCCAAGGCCCGTGGCGAAATTGTGCTGGTCCTGCGTAACGTGCCCGTGGGTTTTGCTGTCCAGACGCTTCGTTCCCTGCTCGTGTCAAGTGCCTCGAATGGTGCTAGATGGCTCGGCGATCTCTTGTTTTTTCACAAGCTTTTTGATCCCTATGAGGAATCCTTCCTCCCACAGATGCTTGGTATTGCAGTCGCGCCTCCCAATGACCCCCTGTTCGAGGCCATCCCTGCGGTAATCTGGGTACCCAACGTCCAAGAGCCCATCCTGGTGAACATCTCGGCACACTCGTGCGGGGTGTGCTCCAGCAATCATCGGACGCGCGATCATAGCAACTTCGCGGCGGTTCGAAGGAACCGCATCACCAATCCGTTCCACATCACTCTTGGGCAGCTCCAAAATGTCAATGGTACTCGCCCCCCTCCCACTTCCTTCTCTCCTACTGGTCGTGTGATCTTGTGCTTTGAGCTCCTTTGGCCATGTTCTTTGGAATTCTCAGTTCTTGTCGGTTCCGCTCTTCTCCACACTTGCTATGTGTGGTGCTGGTCCTCTCAAGATCTGACCTCGTTGTTGGTCTGGATATTCCTTCCCTGCTTGCCTTTCCGGGTGTTCTGGTCTGCTTTGCTCGACTTTCTCCCCTTGGTGTTCTCCAGCCAGGATCATCGGACAGCATCCCTCTGTGGCTTCGTTCAAGGCAGACCCGGGAACCTTCTTCATCGGGACAGACCTCGAGGTGGAGGTCTGGACCTGTGTCCTGTGCTCCTACCGCTGTGGCTGGGCTCTGGACAGCGCGATGGATCACGTCGCATGCCCCTCTCACAAGGCGGCCACTCAGCTGATTGCTGGAAACATCACCCCCCTGGAAGAGTTTGGGGATGTGAAAGTGCACATCTTCAATCAGAACCAGGCTATTGCCGCCTTCCTCGCGCAGGGATAGGATGGCTCTGCAGATGGGTGTTATGTGATGCGAACTGCCTATATCTCTTCCTTTCTGTCCTGATGTATCAGCAAGAGGAATTCATAAATTTCGGCTTGGTGCCATGTGACATTTCTAACCTTCTCCTTTACTCCAGGATTCATACTGAAGTTGGATCTTTTTCCCGCCCCTGTGGATGTGTGTTCTACGGAACACAAGGGGTTTTTACCTCTGTTAAATAATGGATACACACCTTAAACTTCAATGCATTAATGTGAATGGTCTCAATACCCCTCAAAAATTGGATGCTCTCAGATCCTGGTTCACAAGAAAACCAATGGACATTCTCGTGTTTACTGACACTAGGCTGACTACCAATTTTTCACACCTGCTTTTCAAATTAAAACCTAAGGCCTACGCCCAAGTTCCCCCCCGCCTCTCATCATCCGCTCAGCCTAAGCCTGGTGGGATTGCCGTGTTATTATTTCATCCCAGTATTTCCATTTCCAGCAGATCTTCTTCTGGCGACGGCAGGTGTTTATATCTCCATTGTAATTTTCTCCACGAACAATTCCGACTTCTAGCAGTGTATGCGCCCAACTACTATCTGGACCGACGTGCCTGGTGGCTGTCTACAGTGACTCACTATCTCGAACAACCCTCTGCTTGTGCCGCAACCATCCTCACTGGCGATTTCAATGCTGTTGCTCTTCCCATCGACAGGAACCGTGACCTTAAGCCCATAGAACGCACGGAGGCGTTAATGATCGGAGACGCTATCAAGAAGCACTCTCTCGTTGACTGTTATCGCCATAAGTCCCCTGCCAAGGCCATGTTCTCCTTCTCGTCCCTCAGGAGACTTAACGGCCCTAACTCTGCCTTCTCCTCCTCCCGTATCGACAGAACTTATGTGTCTGATCAATGGGCAGCACGCATTCACCACGCCTCCTATGTCTCTGTCCCGCACACCCTCTCTGACCACAACCGTGGGCCGCTTATTGTTTTGCGGTTTTGGAACCCCAACATGGCCCCCAGACCCTGGCGGCTTCCGCAGCAATTAATTCCCAAACCATTTGTACTTTCCTTGCTGGAACGATCCTCGCAGGAACTCCAGCCTGGGTTCACCATAGACGACTGGGATAGGTGGAAGGTCCGCCTCTGCCGACAACTCCAATGGTATTATAAGGAAGAGAAGACCAGGGTGAGGAAAACCACCTCCTTTCTCTGTGATGAGGTATGCATCCTGCAACTTTCTCTGCTCAAAAACCCGTCCGACCTACAGGGTGCCAATCGCTTAGCTCTCCTTTCTGCTAGCCTGGAAGCTTACGAGCTCTCACGGGCTGCGGAAATCGCGCTTAAAGCAAAACTTAAGGTGGAAGGTTCGAGGGAAATGGGCGTCTCTTCCCTCCTTGTGGGTCTCCAAAACAGAATCAAAGGTTCACTAAATTCCCCATCTCAAGCTTCCCTCTGGTGAAAAAATTTCCAGTCTCCAAGCCATGTCCTCCCACTGCACTGAATTCTTCTCCACATTGTACAACGGAAGCTCAACCATCTCACGCGACCCTTCCTTCTGGAACCATGTCCGCCCGTCCGTTCTTCCCCCCGCATGTAGCAGCCGTCTGGATCAGACTTTCTCCCTCGCCGAAATTGAGGCTGCCCTGGGTCGCCTCTCCAGGGGGAAAACCCCCGGGCCCGATGGGCTTCCTGGTGAGCTGTTTCGCTCCTACAAAAACCTCTTCTCTCCGCTTCTTCTCTCCCTCTGCCGTACCATCAACACTCAAGGCCAGCTTCCAGGCTCTATGAAGACCGGCAGGACTGTTCTCATCCCCAAAAGAGGGAGTTCTGAGCTGGTTGCGAACCTCAGGCCGATTATGCTGATGAATGCAGATTATAAAATCATCGCTCTCATCCTTGCGCACCGCCTTCAGGCCGCCTTACCAAAGATCATCAATCCAGCGCAAGCGGCATTCATTAAAGGTAGAAGAATAGGCGATACTATAAATGACACCCTGGATCTCTTGGAGTGGGCTGCCTCACAAGACGACCCACTTCTAATCCTCACAGTCGACATTCGGAAGGCCTACGACATGGTGGACAGGCCATTCATGTATGCGTGCTTGCAACACCTAGGCATTCCGCCTGGTTTCATCCGATGGGTGTCCATGCTTCACTCCGACACTTCTACGCGAGTGTCAGTTAACAATTTCTCTGGCCCCCTCTTTCCTGTGCGCTCAGGTTCCGTCAGGGGTGCCCCCTAGCCCCCCTTCTCTTTGTCTGTGTAGTCGAAGTGATGCAAAGATACAAGATTTTCTCCCCGGCTACGCGTTCAACCAATCACAACGGCGTCTTGCAGCCTGTTATGCCGACGACATTTCTCTGTTTCTCAACTCTGAAACCGAACTACAGGTGACCACCCAAGCCCTCAGCACTTTCGCGGCCATGTCTGGGGAACACCCGAATTGGGAAAAATGCTCTCTCATTCCCATTAACATGCAACACTCCCTGCTTCTCCACACCAATCAGATTCCGGTCCGAGGCTCTAACGACCCTGAGAGGATCCTGGGCATATATGTGGAACAGTGTCAGCCTGGGGCTACCACCTGGAACAATATCACGCTCCGTATCAGAGGCTGCACCAAGCTTTTGGCACAATGCAAGGCCACCACCACCTGTCGATCACTTCTCTCAACAGAACGTCTTTCCTCCCTCTACGCTTATGGCGCCAGATTCCAACCCCCCCCCTCCCCTATCATCACCACGATTGACCGTGTTATTGGCATCTTCCTTTCCAATTCCCAATACAAAGAGCATGGATTGGCGACACGCCGAATCCCTAAAAGGATTTTGTACAACAAGAAAAAGCACGGTGGCGTCGGGGCGCTCGAACCTTCGGCGCACATTCGCGCTTTAAGCATCCAACGCACCGCGCGGCGCTTCCGAGCCACTCTGTACGAGGATATCGCCCACTCCTGCGTCCCAGTTCCGTTTGGGCTGCATTGCTATCTGGCCCACCCCTCCATCATCAAATTTCTCCCCCCGCAGGTTCCAAGTCGTTTTCGTGCAGAACTGGAAGCCACCCTACCCCTTCCTTCAGTTGTGAAGCCGCCTCGGCTGGACCCATGGAGCCTCATGGCTGAACCTATCGCCTTTAATAGATTCATTAGCAAAGAACCAAACGTACCTTTCGGCCGCGTCAAGAATGAGCTTTTCCTGCTCTCCGACCAAATCCGCTTAGGCAACCTGCTTATCTCCACACGTTCTGGCGCAAGACGGATGGAAGAAGAGGAGATTTTCGAAAAATTCCCCCCCTCTATCTACCCAGGCAGCCGCACTCTCATTCTGAGCATCTTCGACGCCATTCCCATCAGCTGGTGGGCTACCCTCAGGAGATTTTCCCCGAGCAAGAACTACCTCGCGGTTGGGGACTGGGCTCTGGAGTTCACCAAGACCTTCCTTCCCAGTCGCATATTTCGTGTATCTTCTCTCCTTCCCGGGCTCAAAGCACATGTCAACATATTCCAGGTTCTCCAAGGAAGACAGGTGGCTGTGGAGTGCGTCGGGGTCTCCACGGTCGCGTTCAAGGACGTGATCCCCGTTCACGTCAAGGGACGCTGGCTCGCAGGCCCTTTCGACTCTGGCCCTGCTCTCGGCTCACGTCATGAACTGTTCGCCGGCTCTCCCTCACTTGCGGACATCAGGAACCTGCTTTATCAACCCCAGCCTCTCAATCACCTGGAGCGATGGAACGTCATTGTGCGAGACCCCATCTCCTTCCTCCCAGGATATGACCATTCTTTCCTCAAAGACCAGCCCTCTAGACACCGCGACATCCTGTTCCGCTTGTTCACCCTCACTCTGCCGTCTGGCTCCAGATACCGCTTCACAGCCACGGGAGGCGTTTGTCCCCGCTGTGGGCCTCCCTTGACAGAGGACCTACCTCACATGTTCTTCGATTGCGGCCACGCACCTGCGGTAGTCGAGGCCATTCAGCACGTCGCCTCTCGACACATGAACTCCACAGTCGAATCTGCAGCAGTCTTTTTCCCACTTCCACATCCATCCAGCTTTATCGCTCCATGGTGCCTGCTTATTGGCGCGGCAGCCACGATTCTATGGAGAGACAGATGCTCTGCCTTCTACGAACAAACGACGTATACTCGGATCGAGACGCTCCACCGAATCTTAGCGCTCTTCCTGACTTCGTGCAAAATCTACTTCATCCGCCGCTCTAAATGGTCTGACAAGAAGAAACACGCCACCACCAATCGTGTCAAAGCCGCCGCAGAACTTCGACTCCTCAATTTCGCGCCGGATGGGACGCCGCAGCTCCACCCAGCTCTGCGGGAATCTTGGCTGCTGAACGAAACAAGTCATCCCCCCTAGAAGGTCGCCTCTCTTTAGCTGTACAACCCGATAAAGGCCTTGGCCTTCATTCTATCTCTGATAGACAAGTAATGCTGTTCTAGCGTAGGTCTTCTAGGCCTTGGCTTTCGCCATGCTTGTGGTGTTGTACTGTACGCGGTTACGACCATAATAAAAACTTAAAACTTAAAAACTTAAAACCTAGAATGCAAAACGTCCTAAACCATGTCCTAGGATCAAGTCCCAGGCCTTATAAATTCTATTAAACTACAATAAGCACTATGTTTGCGGAATGGCTGTGGTAAAGCCATCCACAAAAAGAATGATTGCAGCCTAGGTATACGCTCTGTACTCCAGTTGATTCTTCTACCTCCTACCATCTGTATAATATTCTGCTAATTCCGCCGCGTGTGTGAAAATACTTGCGCGGCTTGACGAGTATTTAGGGCGTGTGTGAATCTAATTGCAGTTCGAAAATGGGATCGAACGTAGTGTGGTAACGAGTTTCGCTTATGTTCGCCAATGTTTTCGCCAATGCGTGTTCACTTTGTCACGCACGAAACTCGAACCCCGAAAAGTGAACAAGATTCGAGTATATGAGCAAACGTGGTTTTTCACGTTGTAGTGAACGTGTGTGGTTTCAGGCACGTACGCGGAATGTGCGACACTCGCAACACGTTCGTGCGACTTCGTTGACGTGTCGCGCTGTCAAGATGCCGATACTGGGTAACCTGCGCACCCTAGAAGCGGTTCGGTTCCCCCCTACAGGCTCGAACTTGCAGATTCGCACTTGCGCGTGTGGTTGTGAGTTTACAACTTTTGACACTCGCGGTTCGAACCTTGCAAACACTCAAAATCGAGTCAGGTTCGCTTAGTGTTCACTTGCTACAATCGAGTCAAAAACCTAAACTTAAGGTTAAACTAGATTCACACACGCCCTTAGGGGTATGGCGATGATGGGTTGGACGATCGGACGGGGCTGGGGAGGCCAAACATAGCATCAGCCCATGAACGGAAAATCGCCCCGCGATTGGCTCGGCGCGCTGTCCGGTGCTCCCTGCGGGCCTCCTCGTCCTCGCGCTCGGCAGGGGACAGACCCGCGTTGTCATCTTCCTCCACATCGGCACCCGGGATGTTGGCAACATTTTCGCCAGGTCGCATCAGGGTGGTGGGGGCAATGTTGCAGAGGAAATCAACCATTGCGAGACCTCTGCGAAGAAAAGGCAAAGTTACCAGCACGGTCAGTATAGTCACAACAGTTTGTCGCGCGAAGACAGCACAGGCATCATCTTAAAGCTTTCGTATACATTTGACAGAAGGGGTTCAAAAACTTTTGAAATTTGAAAGTTTGCCTGTGAGACCGTGAGGTGACTTTCTAAACCCAAAACCTGGATGACAAATGTATACTTCAGCTTTAAATTCGCTATATGAACTGCAGAACAGGACAACATTCTTCCAGCCATGGTAGTAGCGCACCTATTGTAATCGTGATAGCCGAACGCCTCGAGCATGCCGCGGGAGAAGGCCCAGATGACGTACGTCTCACCACTCAGAGTGATCGGAACCGTGCCGCCATCCCCGTTCCTGCGGGAAAACCTGTAAAAACGAGTAGCGAACCGACAGGAGCTTAGACGTGCGCATTTGGAATCGGGCTGATAATGTAAGAAAGACTACCCAATATCGGGTATAAGAGGACAGTGGTGAAATCACTTACTTCAGAATTGTGGATCCAGAAGCCGAGGTGGTGACAGACGGGTTCGGTCCGAGCGAAAATGTGTCGTTGACGAGCTCAGCCATCTTGTAACCATCAAGTCGGTACGCCTTGATCCCGGGTGTGTTACCAACAACGGCGTCAGCAGGCGCCATGGCTCCGTTGTTGGACCAGCCGACGGAAATCCAGCTGTTCTCCGCGCCGCTGAGGCGCTTCGCCTCGAAAGCCATCTGGAATACGGGGCCGGCCAGAACCTTCCAGTGCAGCAGAATCCTGCCAGTGGCGAGAGGAATCACAAGCGATGGGAGGACGTAAAGAAGAAAGCAAGCAGCATTAGGGTGCATTCACGTGCAAAAAACAAGAAAGAACATGTGCCTCAGGTCATGGTGATGTTGTTAGCACTTATGCGTGATGGTAATACACCGCTAATAGTACGGCACGTTACAATTAAAAACGCTTACTTTCCGTCGTAGAGATCCGCTTGGTGGTCGAACTCGCTTAGCGTCGACTGGGTGCATGCCGACCCCACCGTCACATTCCCGCCCTGCGCCGCCACCACCGGCACCGTTTGTTGCGCCGCCACGCCGCCGCCGCCGCCATTGCACGAAAAGTCAACTTGGAAAGAGCCACTGCGTGAAGAAAACGCAAAAAGAAACGCGAGATGAGCCGAAAGGAAAACGCGAAGGAGCGAAAAAAGGGGATATTGAATAACAATGATTGGGTTGGATTTGGGGACTTCTTGCGTACCGCCTCTTGTCGCCGTGGAAGGCGAGCGGCTTGGTTTTGTCGGCGGAGAACGCCCAGATGACGGTGACGTTGCCCGTCGTGGAGATGGGCGCAACGCCGTCCGTGGTTCTCCTCTGGAACCTGAAAGCGTCAACCAGGCGTAGAACGTAAAGTGTGTTGCTGAAAGTGTGTTGCTGGAAAAAAACATATCCGGAAAAGCGTGAAACGAGTGAGCTTCGGCATTCACGCGTGAGCTTCGGCAGCGAAGACGGAAAGGAATAGGGGGGAAACGAGGAACGTTTGGTGCTCACCGCTCCGGGTGGCGAGGTGTGGAAGGGCTTACTTCATGATGAGGCTGCCGTTGGTCTTGGATAGGAGACTCGCGTCGTCGCCAATCCACAGGTCCTTGTTAATCTCAATGGAATCCGCGTCGTATCCCTTGATCGAATAGGCCGCGATGGGCGTGTCCGGCTGGTTACCGATGATTGCGTCAGCTTTCTTCATCTTGCCGTCCTTGGAGAACCCGATGGACACCCATCCCGCCGCCGCGCCGCTGCCGTGCTTCGCCTCGAACGCGATCTTGACGACCGTTGGGGAGACGACGGCCCAGTGCAGAATGTGGCCGTATTTGGTGATTTGATACGACGACGTGTAACCGTCCAAGTCGGACGGGTCGCAGGAGGAATTTTGCGCGACGCCAGTTTCAGCGACGTTGTCTGGAGTACTGGGAAAGATCGGGGCTGTGCCGTTGTCTGGGATATCGGGGAAATTCGGGGTCGAGCCGTTGTCAGGAGTACCGGGAGAAACCGGGGTCGCGTTGTTGTCTGGAATATTGGGAGTAATCGGGATCCCCGAACTGACCTGGTTGGGTTGCACGGTACCAGCATACGCGCTAGAGTCCGCCTCGCTTGTCCGCTGAACACCAGTCTTGGAGTCGTCACCCGCGAGAGGGTTCCTGCCGCCCAGAGGGTCGTTGGGATCGAACGATGGGCCAGGGTTCGAGACGGACGGGCCAGAGGTTCCGAAAGGATCGTCAGTGAAGACGTCTTGAGGGGCCGACGCCGGGTTTGGAGTGGCGACGGGGTCGCTCGCCGAAGTAACAGGCTCGGGAATCTGGGTCACAGGCTCGGGGTCGTTGGGGCGGGGTGTGATGATGGCGGCGGGAATGACAGGTTCGTGATTGCCAATGAACTCGTTGTTGGATCCGCCGGGGCCGGCGAGGTCTTTGCGAGGTTTCATTTCCGCAGCGTGCGCCGCAGAGAGGAGTGAGGAAGCCAACAGAAGAAGAGGTAAGACGCCCATTGCGAGGCGAGCCATGACTGGGTGCAGGCAGTGAGGATGCAAAACGGAAACTTCAAAGAAAATGGCGTTCTGTAGTAGGAGGCAAGCTAGAAACGATCGGTGACGAGATCACACGCTAGACTAAGATGCTTTAGACAATGTGGGCTGTGCGAATTTTATATACAAGGATCGAGAAGACTCGCCGATACGAGAGATGTATCAAGAAGCCTGGCACCTTGCAAAACGCGACTCGGGGCCGACAAAAACGTCCAAATTCATCACACGCCTCAAATCTCCGACATTATCCCATAGTGGGTGTCCTGCGTGAATTACAAATGTCCGACATTACGCGACAAATTCATGGAACTCAACCCTTTGACAGGCTACTCGAGCCCATTATCCTTGTGATCGCTGCACCGAAATTCGCACATTCAGCCTTCGTGCCTGAGAGAGTCTTCATTCTTGATATACGCGACTCCGATGGCTTTTCGTGGGAACAAGATGGCATCGCGGCTCGGGGCATGCTGCGATGGTGCATCCCAGATCTCGTTTCAATAGGTACAGCGCATCCTTTTACATTCCAACCTATACACTATCATTGTGGAGAATATTGTACCGTATTGTACGGAATTTTCTCGACATTCCTTACTGCGACCTACAACATCGCGTATAGCAGCAGTCGTTGTTCGCCCGTTACTGCTAACGGGGCTTCGCCAACTTCGCACGCACTGTTTCATCAAACCATGCACCGCTGGCCCGGCCGTGTCGGCCTACGCTTCGGGACTAGCCCGAGCCTCGATGCCAGCCTAGCACTAGCTAGCTCGCACGCTCCGCGTTACCGTTTGCATGTTTCGCGTATAAATGTTCGCTTATGCCTTCGCTCACATTTTGTACACATTTGACTCTCAGTGCAGTCCTCGCTACCTCGATTCATTGCACCCGTAACACTTGGTATTCAGAGCTTCATTCTTTCGGACCGCGCATCTCCGCACCCCAAGAAATCTACTTTTGATTTTTCAATCGAAGGGACTCACGCACCTTAGCCCCTAGGAGCCGCTGTCCTCGCGTTCTCTCGTAAACGCATGCAGCCACGACTGCGCCTAGACTAAGCTGAGCCGACGCCCTTCGTAATGGCCGAACATATCGACGTCACGACACTCACGCAAGACTGCTTGAACGAGCTGCTGCGACAACTGCATGAAAATTCTGAAGAAATCGCGGCGCTGACGGCGGAACGCACCTCCCTACAGAATGACGTCGCACAAGCACGACAAGCGCAATCACAAGCATCTGGCACTCCGGTACAGCCCGCACCACAAGCATCACAGCACGGAAATGTGGGGCAACCCGCGAGTGCGGCCAGTGATGGCGTCGTCCGCCACGACGGAGACGACGGCCATGGCACGACACACCCCGAAGCGACGAATGCGGCCAGGAACCAGCCTCGCGTCACGATCTCGGCACCGATCAACGATTCGGCACTGCCGTCACCGATGCCGCTAAAGCCGCAGCGTCCGCCATTCTTTGACCCGAGTCAACGGGGTGGCCCTACCGTTCAGGCGTGGTTGTTCACGATGAACGTTTTCTTCGAAGCCAACTACGTCTCGGAGGATATGGCAAAGATTCGTTACGCCGTGTCGCTGCTGCGAGGACCCGCCATGGATTGGTGGCGCGTCATCGTCACGAAGCCGAATGACTACGCGACTCTACCAACACGGGAAGGACAAACCGGACCCTGGGCACCGTCGTATTTCGTGGAGGTGCCCCAATATCGCACGTGGGACGTGTGGTGCGCAGGTCTACGCGCTCGATATGAGCCAATTGCGGCTTCGATCGCGGCGCGTCAGAAGCTCCGCACTTGGCGCCAACTCGGTTCCGTCCAAGACTACACTAGCGGGTTTCTGGCGCTGTGCGAGAAAGTAGGATATATGCACGAGGGCGAGCGTATCGACCGCTACATCGGCGGCCTGAAGCATGACATCGCCCAGGAAATCCAGCTCCGCGGCGTCACTGATTTTCAAGAGATTCTCGCCATGGCGGAGAAACTTGACTTCTTTCGCCGACCGAGACCAGGGTCATACGGAAGCACCAACTGGGGACATCGATCTCGTGGGACGAACGAGGGCGCCACGATACATGCCGTCGCCGCGAATGCCGCTGCCGCACCGTTCAAAGGGCGCTGCTTCGCGTGCAATCTGTCATGTTAGAAACAAGAGTGAATGCACTAGGAAGATTGAGGGTACAAGTATGAAACCCTAGAGTATTGTACCCCCTAAGGCTAACCCACTATAGCCTACACATACAATGTTTGACACACCCCCATAGGCTAAGTGGGGCAGAGCAAGGGGTCACAAGACCAGTCAGGAAAGACAAAGCAAGCTCAGGGTGGATCACAACGTCACCACACAATCTGAGCACAAGAAAGAGGCCACAAGGCCAGTTCACATGCAGAGACATATGTGTAAGACAAGCATCACAGTGATCTATACCTAGCAAAGCAAGCATGCAGGTATATATATATATAAATATATATATATATATATAGATCACAGTACAAGTAAAGTCTACAGCAAGTGAGGCAAAGTGGGCACAAGCCCCAGCACAGTGCAGACACGCTGATGATCACCAGGCTGAAGTGCCTTGGTGAATATATCAGCAGTGTTGGCCCGAGTGGCCACGTAACGCAGACGAAGCTGACCACGCTGCTGCAACTCTCGAGCCAGGAAGTAACGCAGAGCGATGTGCTTCGTTCTGTGCTCTAGTCTGTGCTCCTGACACAAGGCAATGGCAGCCTTGTTGTCGACGTACAGCACTGGAGGGGAACGAGGCCGCTCTCCCAGGTCGGTCAGCAGGTAGGTGAGCCAGCGTAACTCCTGTGCAGCCATGGCTGTGGCGTAGATCTCAGCCTCACAACTGGAGCTGAGAACTGAAGACGAACGCGTAGAACGCCACGAAACTGAGCCGGAGCCAAGGCTGAAGGTGTAACCCTGTGACGACCGCTGAGTAGCCTGGTCGTCAACCCAAGAAGCGTCTGAGTGCCGTGTGAGAACAACTGGGCTCCTCCCTCCAAGCACGAGCCCCATGCCTGATGTACTGCACAAGTAACGAAGTACCCTCTTAACAGCATCCCAGTGCACCTTTCGGTGTCGACCAGGTGCCACGTAGCGAGCCAGAAGGCCAAGAGGGTACGCAAGGTCAGGACGAGTGCAAGTCATCAGGTACATGAGGCAACCAACTAGCTCTGGGTAAGGACCACTCGGCTCTACGGACTCATCCGAAGGCAGAGCTGAGAGCGAGTGACCTATAGCCAGAGGAGTGGCCTGTGCTGAGGACCAGGTGAAGCCGAAGCGCTGAAGGACCTGCTGCACCATGTGTGACTGAGTCAGTGTGATGGTGCGGCGTGCTCTGTCCCGAGTGATCTGCAAGCCAAGGTAGCTGCGCAGTTCACCCAGGTCTGTGCACGTGTGTCTCTTCTACAGCTCCGACTTCACGTGGGCGAGAGCCTCAGTGTCAGCAGTGGCAAATACCAAGTCGTCGACGTACACGAGGATGTAGAACGGCGGCAGTGAAGTGTCGGTGCGCAGAAACAGCGACGGGTCGGCAGTAGAAGGCGCGAACCCAAGTGCCGCAAGAGTAGTCCTCAGTGTGTCGTGCCACTCACGTGGCGCCTGGCGAAGACCGTAGACCGGCCGCCGGAGGCTCCACTGGGTACCAGGAGGGAACGACCCAGTGAAGCCAGGAGGGCGGCGCAGCCAGATCTCCTCGTGCAGGCTGCCCTGCAAGAAAGCTGTGCTGAAGTCAAGAGAGTGAAGCTCGTAGTCACGCTGAGCAGCAACGTGCAGTAGCACCCGAAGAGTGGTCATCTTCGGGGTGGGGGAGAAGGTCTGAAAGGAGTCTACTCCCTCTCGCTGACTGAAGCCTCGAGCAACGTAACGAGCCTTGAAGACAGGCGGAGAACCTGGCGGCCGCTTCACCCTGAAAATCCACATGCCACTGACGATGTTCGCCCCAGGAGGGGGAACCTCGTCTACTTAAGTGCCAGTGGACTTCCAGGATGCCATCTCTGCGTCCATGGCTGCCTGCCACTGAGAGGAGTACTCACCCGCGATCGCCTCAGCGTAAGAGAGCGGGGTCGGGATGTCTGGAGCATCCGGGTCTCCCTCAGGAGCAAGCAGCATGGACACGAGATGAGGCGCAACGGCTGCAAGACACTCAAGGTCCTCCTGTCTGTCCTCAAGTACTTCCGTGCCAAGAGCACACTCACCCCCGACGGACGGAGGACAGACAGACTCAGACTCAGACTCAGCAACAAGACTCGCAGCGTAGTGTAGACGACAACGAGCAGTAAAGTCGACAAGCTCAGCAACTAAGGCAGACGCAGCAGCAGACTCAAAGGAAGGGTCAGTGACAGCAGTGGCCAGGAGACGCGTGATAGTAGGGCTGGCAGCACGAAGGGAGTCAGACTCCGGGTCAGCAAGAACAGGAAGAGAGGACGCAGGAGGAGACGGCAGAGGGACACGCTGTGGAGCAGTGGAAGGACACAGAGTCATATAGTGTGTGCCAGGGACAGGTGGAGGACGCTCACGCGGAACACGGCGACCAGTGCGAGCAGTACGAACAGGTGACACAGGACGAGACTCAGGCGACACAGGGCGAGACTCAGGCTCACGACGCTCTGTAAGACCGCCTGTCGGACCAGTGTAGGGAGAAGGACCAGGAAGTGGAGAGGCAGGCGGTAGCTGTGACGGCGACTGGACAGGCTGAGGACACTCTAAGGAGGGAGGAGAACTAGGAGGAGGCGGCTGACCAAGAACCTGCTGAAGGAGCGGAACGAAGTACGGTCGCGGCCACGAAGTGCCGCCAGAAGCAGCAGAGACAGTACCAGAACCTCCAGCAGCACCAGCAGCACCTCCAGCAGCTCCAAAACCTCCAGCAGCACCAGCAGCACCTCCAGCAGCTCCAGAACCTCCAGCAGCACCAGCAGCACCTCCAGCAGCTCCAGAACCTCCAGCAGCAACAAC